TATGGCACTCTGGAATTTATTCATATCTAGCTGTTGATTTTGTATCTCTTAACCAAACTCTCCCAATCCTCATGGGACTGGAATTACCAGATAATATGGCAGTTCTATTAGTTTTTTGAGGAATTTCCATACTGTTTTTTAAATGGTTGTACCAATTTACATGGGCACCTCAGTGTATAAAGAGTTATTCTTGCCAACATTTGTAGTCTTTTTGCTACTTGGTAATAACTCTTGTGAGATGGCATTACATTGTGGTTTTGATTTGCATTCCTCTGGTGATTAATGATGTTCAACATTTTCTTTTTATATACTTTGTGGCCATTCATACGTATGCTTCAGAGAAATATCTGTTCAGATAGTTTGCTCCCACTTTAATTGGATTGTTTTGGCCTGTAGTGTTGAGTTCCTTGTATATTTTGGGTTTTAATCTCTTTCTGATAAACGGTTTGCATATATTTTCTGCCACTCTTGGTTGTTTTATCCCCATATTTACCAAACTTTCAGTATCAAGATGCTTCACAAGATTTCCGGCTGTTTATTTTTTATGTTGAAGTGAAATGTGTGTGTGTATATATATTATATATTTCTTTGCTAGATTTTATCTGTAAAAATCCCCAAGCAAATTAGTACTTTGGACATAGCCTCTATATTTTATATTTACAAAAATATTCTGCCTTTAAAACATAGATGCCATGCTTTAGAACTGAAGAGACAGTTTCTATGGCCAAGATAGAAAAGTCAGTGCTGAACAAGGGTCTTGCACAAATGTTATCTGCCCTTCAAATATATCCAACTTGAATCCCCCCCCACCCCAGGTTATCACAAGTGTGTGTTGACTGTACCTATCTCTAGGACTCAGGACAAGGCTCAATTCTGAAGTTTTCTAGTATTGTAATAATAGTAATTTTTCTCCCAGGATCTTCTCTGATAGAATGTTGCCTAGTAAGAAACAAACAAACAAACAAAACCAAGTTGAGGTCAGCAGGTGGCATGGTGGTTAAGGGACTGGATTCCCACATAGCCAACTGTGGACTGAGTCTCAGTCCTGGCAGCTTGAAAATTTCTGTGTGTGTGTATGCATTCACACCCAAAAACTCAAGAGGAGAGTGAAGGAGAAAGGTATCGCAGCTTAGACATCTCCCCTGGGAGGTGATTTCTCACTTTCTCTGTCTCTCTTTTGCAATTGCACATGCCCAAACTCTTCCTCCCCCCCACCAAAAAAAAAGAAATGTCTTCCTTTTCCTCCTTTTTTCCACTAAGAGGATTGTGAAGCCAAACCACCATAGGCAGATAAAAGGTAGAAGTCAGTGTGTCTCAGTGGAGCTCTCCCATGGCTGCAGCAATGATGCAGAGCATTTTCAGGGCAGCTCTCATCTGATCTCAGCAGTGGGGTGAATTATGCAGCATCACCTGACCAGACTGCATCAGTAATTAAATCCCATTGTCAACCATAAGAATGGAGTGGAGACAGTACTGTGGTCAGCACTTGGTCATATTTCTGGGATTCACTTCTTCCATGAACTCTCACTTCTTTCTCAAGGGCCTTTTTTTTTTTTTTTCTCTTTTTCTTTTTCTTGTGAGCCTTTTAATGCCATTGCACAAATAGGCGTGGAAAGCAAATGTCTTAAAAATAGCGGGTACCTTAAAAAGCTTTTGTGGCATTCAATTTTAATTACCTGATGCCTTGGCTGGTAATAGCCTGAAATTTTAGCACATGCTTTCATATTTTAAGTTATCTTTTCTGTCGCTATGCAGAGCTTGTCTCCCTTTTCCTTTTTTATATTCCACCTTTCCTAGCTGCTGATGAGGTAACCTGCTGCTCTTAGTCTAAAAATTCTCCTCTCCAGTTTTATCAGGGAAGGTTGTCTCTTAGGACTTGTCCTCTTGATCAGAGCTGCATAATTCTGGAGACTGTTTGCAAAGTTATTTCAGTTTTCAGTTACCATATCCCCGGAGATAATGAGTGGTAAGATTTCCTCTCCGAAATGTTGAATCTTGGAAAGGTAACAAGCATATTTCAGTTTAGGGGCTTTCCTTGCCTTAACTTTTTTTTTTTTTTTTTCCCCATTGGAACCAGAATCCTGGAATATAGTTTCAACTTTATTTTGCAATCCCCAAAGTGCTAGAAAACTTTGTTCTCTCCTTAGTAAAATTCATACAGTTGTTAACTAGTGGTATTGTGGGAAATCTGCTGCTCAGTGAATTCCATTAGTTCACCTTTGTGTTAGTTTACTATTGCTACCATAACAAATTACCACATATCTGGTGACTTAATACAACACATATTTATTATCCTCTAGTTCTGTAAGTCAGAAGTTCAACATAGTCACAATGGGCTAAAATTAAGGTATCTGCAGGGCTTCATTTTTTTCTGGAAGCCCTTGGAGAAAACTTGTTTACGTGCCTTTTCCAGCTTCTTGAGACTGCCTGTGTTCTTGGCTCCTAGCTCTTTCTTCCATCTGCAAAATCAGCAATTTGACCACTCTCTGAGTGGTCTACTTCAGTTTTCGTATCTCTTGTCTTGACCACAGTGAAGAGTTCTCTGTTGTTAAAGATCTATATGATTACAAGGGACCCCCTCCCAATTAATCCAGAATAATCTCCCATCTCAAGGTCTTTAATTTAATTCCATGTATAAAGTCTCTTTTTGTATGTGAAGTCATCTATTCACAGGTTCCTGAGATTTCACCATGCATGTATTTAGGAACTCTCACTTGGTTAGTAGAGAAAGATTTCAAGAGTCTCTCTTTAGAGTGTGTAATTTTTTTTCTAATTTTTGTTATGCTTTCTTCCTAGTCCCACATTTCTTGGTATTGTAGGGCCTGTCAGATACCTAATATTCAGACTTCTGTGCAGTTGAGCAATGACCTTTCATGACTTTGAAGTATTATCATGGGACACTTCTGGGTGCTGAGTGGATGCCAGATGCTACAAAGCAGATATATATGTGTGAATCTTATTTCTCTCTGTCTTTATAATGTATCAGAGATGATTATATGGAAATATACAATTGTCCTGCTTAAAAGTAGCCCCCCCCATAGTAATTTGTGAAACTGTGCCTTCTTGTAATATCTCAGCGCTAGAGGTCTGAATCTGTGTTTCCCGTGGTTGCTTTCTTTAGAGTCTAATACTCAGTTCTGAGCTGGTGTACATGCATTTCCAGCTCTGCACTGTTACAGACACTGCCATCCAGCACACACATGACTATTGCCCAAGGATTAGACTGAACACAAGCAAAGGTCAGGAAAGTATAAGGAATAGGCAAGAACTTGCAAGATCTTTGTTGGCAGCTCGAGCAATAATTACTATTATAGATAGCATTTACTGTCTGTTAAGCACGCGCACAGCAAAATGTTAAATGTCCACTGCCTTATTTCCTTTACTTCTAACAACTCTGTGAAATAGATACTAACATCATTTCACTTATGGATGAAGAAGCCAAAGCTTCAGATGTTAATTTGCTTGCCTAAAGAGTCACTGGGCTCTTTATTATCTATGTGGGAATGGTACCTTGTGTCACCCGATCCTGATGCACTATCGTTTAAACCCTGCTCTGGATAGCTTTCAGTGAAAGTAAGAAAGACAGGGAGGTAGATATCCAATAGAATTTGAATTTTATTCTGTAGAGAAAGGAAATTAGTAAATAATTGAGGGGGAAATACAGGAGGCAGCATGATGAGAGACTTATCAGGATTTGTTTACTCAGAAATTAGAGGGTTTTCTCACAGCTTCCATTCTTAAAAGTAGCCATCCTTGGCTTAACACTTATGAAAGATGATGAAGAACATTAACTCAGGAAGCACAGACTGAGGGAACCAGTAGTTAGCGTAATGGCTATGTCACATGACTCCCACGTAGTCGACCGCGGTTCGCGACCCAGACCCGGTGGCTTAAAACTCACGCCGGGCGCACGTGCGTGCATGCCCAAGATCCCGAAAGGAGAATGGAGGAGAAGGGATTGCGGCGTGACCATCCCCCCTGAGGGGTGATTTCTCGCTTTCTGTCTCTATGTCTCTCTCTGTCTGTCTGGCGAGCGCAAGCCCCTATAGCAAAAACCTCTCAAAAAAAAAAAAAAAAAGCACAGACTGAGAAAGAGGTAAAAATTGTTTACTGCATTTTAGGGAACCATGGAAAAATAAAAATCCATCACTTGATAAAGATCTTAATTTAATCAGAATTTGGCTGCATTAAGTGTCTAAAGATTATCTTTTGAGTCTCTGAGCCACGTGGAAATCAGACTGTTGCACATATATAAGAACTACTCTTTTTTAAAAACTTCAGAAAATTAAACTCTACATTCTCCCCTGGTAATCTGCTTAGCTCAGTGAGTTTCCCCAGAGAGGTAAGTAGTTTAAGTAACTTTAATCTCCAGAGAAAAATATGAGTTTTGGTGGAGTATTTTAATGAATTTGGATATCAGAGATGCTGTAAAGCATACCTGGCAACAAAATAGTTATGTAAGTCCTTTTCAAAACTGTTTGGCTCATTTTTATTTACAGAGATATATCGCTTTTCATGAAAGCACTGGAGAGCTTCTGCCTAGGTGAGAAAGCAACTGCTTCTCTGATACAGAGAGCTCTGGGGAAGGGAAGCTGGTCTGTCACACCCACACATTTGGGGCTGTTCGTCTGCACCAGTGGATAAGCCAGAGTAAGCTGCAGTGGGTATTTTCAGATACCCAGCGCAGATACCTTTCACATCTACGTGGATAATTTCCAGTGTGCCAGCTGATTGCCTCTGTTGTTTTAATGGAGCCGTTCTGGGGATGCTGTGAAATCAAATTCTGCATGTTTGTCTAGAGCTGGTTTTCGAGTTTCTCACAGTGTAGCAGACTGAGAAGACCAGCCTAGTCAAAAAACTGATGAGGTTTTTGTGCTTTGGTCCATTTTCTCTTTATGATTTGATTGCACCATTTTGCTCCCTTCTCTGTAAGAGAAAGCTTTCTCTGAGAATGTTCAGATGAAGTATCAGTCCTCTAAAAGGCTTAAAATGAACATTTATTACCACAGCATGTGCTGTACCATTTAAAATTCTTACATTGTAAATCACACCAAGGATTCTAGTCAGTTTGGCCTTTTGACTGCATTAGCCTAACTGCTGTTGCAGAGAAGCCTAGTGTTTGCTTGAAGTATTTTTAGCAATATCCAAGTTGCTAAGAAGAATCTTTTTGTTCTGTTTTGTTTCTCAGGATATCCTGCCTCCTTCACCTCTCTTCTTCAAGAAAATCTGAAAGAAAATGGGGAACTGAAAAATTTAGAGCTAAACAATAGTTAATAATTCTTCATTCATTTTTTTAAAAAATTGTTTATTGCACAATTTATACTTCTGGGGTTAAAAAAAGTGCATTTTATTTTTCTTTAGTCACTTCCTTCAAAAAGTTTTGCCGACTCTTTCTTTCTCATCTATTAATGGCATCTTGGGCATTAGGCCATAATTTTCTAGTTACTTAGGATATGATAAAGTCAAGTCTAGTTCAAATTTCCCTTTCACATTCAATTTAGCCTTTCTCCCCTCCCTTCTCCACCTCTTCCCTTTACCTGAAGAGAGGATACAGTTACCTCTTTCGCCCCTTCTCCCTCTTTCCATTCTAGACTGCTTTCTTCACTTGGGTGTCACCGCTGCTCTGAGGCTAACTAGCTGCCACTGACCTCTAAGCCTTCCATCCAAAGGCTCTTTGGTGGGACCCCGGTGAGATCCTCTGAAGAGGTCTGAGCCAGGTCCACTTCTTTTCTCACCTGGGGAGGTGAGCAGACAGTAGTACTCAGGAATTGGGGTAATGACAGGTTGCCTTGATTTTGGCTACTTTCCTGTTGACTCCTCTGCCATACCAAGCCATTGGTATGGGTGGGCGTGCCTGCATGCCCGGAGACTGCTCCGTCTCTGAACTCTACTGTATCTCACTTTCCCTTGCTCATGTCATTACAGGGAAGGGCTCATGGATGAGTCTGCTCCCTATGCAAGTATCCATCTGGGAAGTGAAATGCCAGCCTTCCCTTCTTGCAGGCACCTCTGACCTGTAGAGTGACACCCGCAGTTGGGTTGGTAGAAGGGAGCCATAGTATATTCCCAGAACTAATCATTAATGATGATCCTCTGTCATTCTATACCCACTCCTTTCATTTTCTTTATACGAGTAGGGGTGAAGGAGTCAGAGGCCATGGTTGAGGCTATTATAGACATTTGGGCCCATTATTAATTACTAAACCTGCAAGAGTGGCCAGCCTCTAGTGTCTGTAGCATTCTTTAGAATACCAGTGCCTGATCTCTATTGATCTTTAGCTTAGCACTCTAAGAACCAGTTCTAGGCAACAGGAAATAACTCTCTATACTCTCTGAGATAGTCATTTATCCCTGTCTATTGAGTCGTTGGACAACTCATGATACATTTTTGTGTAGAAAAACAGAAAAAATAGATTAAGACTTTTCCAATGACCCAATATATTGATTGCCCTGTGGGCAAGTTACCTAGGGCACATTATGAAATATAAAACTTGGCCTTTAAGGATTACATTTTAGTTTAAGCAAATAAAGATACAAACATAGAAAATGCTATCTATATGGCAACTTGTGATGAGTTAGTCAAATAAACATAATTGAGAATAATGGGGTAGTTTTCCAAATATCAGCATGAACTGGAGCAGCCAGCTAAGGCCTGCTGTGGAGGGGCCTGTGGGTGGGTGAGTCAGGAGGAGGCTGAGTGTTTCTGTTCTGCTCTGCAGCTTCTCGCTATGCTCTGCAGATTAAAAGGAAAGAAAACCTAGGTTGTGGGAGGAATGGAAAAAGAAATGTGCAGAGGTACCAAGGCACAGTTTTAGGATTAACTTGAATTTTTTATTTAATTTTACCAGACTGAATTTTGAAACTTGCGTTCTTGTTTATAGCTTTTTTTTGGGGGGGAGGGGGATTATGTCATAGTGTGTAAGATGTAAATTAGTTCATCTTTTCAAATTGCGTTTGTCCTTTTTTTTGGGGGGGGGAGGTTTTTGCTATAGGGTACACACACTCGTCAGAAAGACAGAGAGAGACAGAGAGACAGAAAGGGAGAAATCACTCCCCAGGGAGGATGGCCATGCCTCAATCCTTTCTCCTCCATTCTCCTCTTGGGATCTTGGGCACACACATACACGTGCCCGGCGTGAATTTAAGCCACCGGATCTGGGAATTGAGCCATGGTAGACTACATGGGAGTCCAGCAACATAGCCATTATGCCAACGGCTGGTCCCAGCGTTTTTCGTTTTCAATATTTCTAGCATTGTGTCTTTAGTATTCACTAGATGTAGTAAGGACCTTGCTGTCCAGTGAATGTTTTCCTTTTGCTTCTCTGTTACTAGAGTGATTGCTCTGCAGTGCACTTATCTCATTTTTTCTTATATCTACTTGAAAGGAACCTTATAAATAACCACTCTCTTTGGCATTGGACCTCTTAGAATTGTCATCTGTTTGCACTTTTATTTTTATTTTAGTTTTCCATGTTTACCTATTTATTTCTTCCAAGAGAGAGAAAAAGACACACAAAAACAGAGAAAACGGGAAAGGAGACAGAAACAGAAACAGACACCCCGACAGAATTCTCATGCCATGACCCACCCCCAGCCAGCTAATATCACAGGCACACATGTGCATGCCTGGTGTGCAGAGGGAGACCTTGGAATGTGCACTCAGGGGCCTCCAATGTGGCCTCAGCATCTGCATTCATATTATCACCGTGCTTCCATGTTTGGCTGGTGTGGGCTATCACTGGTTAGATGGCCAGGTTCTGCAGAACCCTGTTTTCCCAGGGTCCTTACCCAGCCCTAGTTGGCTTCTGTGACCCATGCCCCATTGTTTCTCTTCCTATACTAGACAGACAAGTCTTCTTTCGCTCACCTTTTCCAAATGCTATCTCTGATTTCCCTGGGATTCTCCCGCCACAGTAAAACAGTTTGTTTGTTTGTTTGTTTGTTTGTTTTTGGTGGTGTGTACTTTTTTTTCTTGAGAGCATACCCTATAAGGTATGTGCACTTGCCAGAGAGACAGAGAGACAGAAAGAGAGAAATCACCCCTTCCCCCTGGGGAATAGCCATACCTTAATCCCTTCTCTTCCATTCTCCTCTTTGAATTTTGGGTATGAATGCACACACACCCAGCATGAGTTTTAAGCTTCTGGGCCTGGGATTCAAACCATGGTCAACCACATGAGAATCCACCGACATAACTGTTATGCTATCTGCTGATCCCAGTAGATGTTTACATTTTAATCTCTTGTTTTCTTTACTTTTTCTAAACTCCTGGTACTTCTATACTTCATTTAATGTAAAGCCTGCTCTTTTCAGTGTTAACAACCTTTTTTTACAAACAGTCTTTTGGTCTTATTCCAGTGTTTTATCAGGATTAAGGACAAATCAACCTGATGTCCAGTAACCTCTCGTAAGCTAGAATAGACTTTATGATGTTCAGTAAATCACCATGTTTAAAGACTCCAAACTTATCTTAGTGGCCTTGGACTTCAAATTGCAGGCTGAGTGATAACGAAGGACATATATCTGTTTTCTGCTATATTATTGGTGTCAAAACTATAGAAAGTTTGATTAAGTCTAAGGCTACCATAAAGAGGGGCTATCTATACCATTAAACTGACAACAGCCTTGATGCACTCAACACTATTACAAAGAAAATTTCCCCTGTCCCTCAGAAGTCAGCAATTGTTATTTAGTTATTCTCTTGGGTCACTCAGAAGAAAAGAGCCCTATAAAAAAAATGATGCATTTTTTTAACATGTTGCAGGGAATGAACAACAGCTTTCAAAGAACCTCCCCTGAGAAAGGAATAATAATTATTTTTATAAAGTGTTGTTCTCTCCCTGATTTGAAAGGTTTGCTTTTCACTAGCTAAATCCTCAGTAATGCCAGTGCCTATTATTGTTCTGATATAAAGAATTGTGAGTGTGGGGAATTAATTTATATAAAGAGATCCTTACTCCAGGGGATTTCTATGCTGGATAATATGTAGCCTCCTGAGTGCGAATAAAAAATGGAAATCAAATCTTCTAGCTTTAAAGTGTATGTAATAATGCTTCCACAAATACAAGGTCAGAAACTGGGAGAAGATCGGAATCCTCACCGAGTAATGTGTGCTAATGACAAAGATTGGGTTGGAAACCGGAGGTAGGGCTGTGCCGGGTTAGCAATGGCCTGTACCTTTGTCGATGGTCAGGCCTCGTGCCTGTCTATGCGCCTTTGATTTAATTGTAAGCTACTGTGCTCCTTCCTGGTGTATCGCTCCTACAAGGAGAATGTACAAGGAGAATTTGCAAAGAAAATTCACATTTGTATTGCTTCTCTCTTATAAGATCTAGAAGCAGCCACAATATGATATAATCAGGTAGGAGAATATTGTTAAGCTACATATTACAGACTATTCGTTTGCTTTTTTTTCAATATATGCACACCTAATTGCATCTGTTATCATTGTTTGTATTTATTTTCAAATAAAAAATTAGGACTCTTCAACCTCCAGATTAGACTTCCCACTTTTCCTCTTTTAGTTATTGGTGAGTGGTTTTTTGTCTGTCTTTTTTTTTTTTCTATCAATGACTAATAAATAGAACTCTTCAGAATAATTAATTCCATTTGTTTAACTAACATGTTTTGAGTAACCATCATATGTCAGACACTGAGCTGGAGGTATAAATATGAATAAAACAAGTTAAATGATAAGGAAAAATGAACTCTAGGTTCTGAATAAATACTGGGCTTAGAACTATAGTTTATGTTGTGGTTAAGAATTGGTAATTGAAGATTGATTAGGTAAAGTTGGACAGTGAGGACAGAGGGCCCAAAGTTAATAGTTCTTAACCTAAGGAGGATACTGTTTTAGTCTGTTTTGTTATTAATAATGGAGATACCTCACTTTGGGTCTTCTGTAAGTATAGAGGTTAGTTTGGCCCATGGTTTGGAAGTCCGAGGTTGAGGAGCTGTGTCTGGTGAGGGTCTTCTCACTGCATCGCAATATGTTGGGGGCAAGAACACACACGGAGCAGAGGATGCCTCTGTCCCAGTCTCCTATAAACCCACGGAATCACGGAAAAACCCTACCTTTCCACACCATAATCAGATGAAGTCTTCTCTTAATACCTCACAATACAACTGAATTCTAAGACATGTGTGGGGGAGGGTGATATTCAAACCATAGTAATCATGGCTTTAATCAGGTTAAAACTATCACCTCCCTACCCTCAGTACATATTTAACATTTATGTAGCAATTTTCATGCAGTTTAGGTGATTTGCTCACCTTTAGGAAACCCATTTATGGAGCCTACATAGCTCCTAAACTAGAAGGAAGTAAGTGAGAATCCAGATTCTTGAAACCTGTTGTTAATGTTGTTTTCTTTCTTTCTTCCTTTCTTTCTTTTTTCTTTTTTAAAGAGATTTCTGCCATAGGGCACATGCAGTTGCTGGAGAGAGAGAGAGAGAGAGAGAGAGAGAGAGAAAGTGAGAAATCACCCCCCAGGGGGTGGCCACACCACAATCTCTTTTCCTCCTGGGGTTTTTGGGCATGCACACACATGTGTCCAGGCATGAGTTTCACCCCGCCTAGTCTGGGACTCGAACCACTAATGACCATGTGGGAGTCCAGCACCTTAACTACTATGCCACTACTGGTTACATTAATGTTACTATTTTTTTCCAGGAAATACCAATACTCTTGTCACAGTCCCTAACTTTGATCTGTTATAACCTGACTTGAAATATGCATTGTATCATAAGTTCCCTGTGTTTTTGTTTTTAATAAACAAAATGAAGATTACATCAACCACTGAGAGCATAAATGTATACAAAGGTGATTTCTAAAGGTCAGACTCTTCTGTAGATAGATGGACAGATGGGAATTGATATTAATCCATTGGCTGAGGAGAAGATACAAACTACCGTAAATATTCAGAAAATACTTTCTTTATATTTGACCCATTTGTGGTTTAACTTGTTTGTTTCTCTTATTTTAAAAAAAGTTTTCCAGAGAGTGTGTGTGCTCATCAGAAAAAGAGAGAGACAGAGAGAGAAAGCACCCCCCAGTGGGGGCATGGTCACACTGAAATCCCTTCTCCTTTCTTCATTGTGTCAGGATTTGAGGCAGAAACACACAATAAATCTGGCATGCAGCCTCAAGACCGGGATTCAAACTGTAGTCACCCACATGGGATCCTGCAAGTTTGGCTAGGCCAGGGGGCTAGCACTGCAGTTTCAATATCTGCTTAGCACTCATTGAAATTATTTGTGAGAAGTGGAGCAGTAGAAGAGGTAAGCACTGATTCAAGCCAGGAGACATGGCAAGATTTAAAACAAAACCAACAAGCAAGAAAACATCCTCCATTAAAGACCATACATTTAATCCCAGAATCCAGCCACCCACCAAAGCCCCATCAGCTTCAACCCAGTAGTCTCCATCTTACACTTTTACCAAGGATCCACCGCCCACTGGTTATCATTTCCTGCCTGCTTCCCTGTCTGATTCCCAGGGTCCTAGGTCATACTCTGGCTTCTGTATCCATTGTTGGCAGATCTGGCTGGATGCTCTTGGATTTCCCTCCTGAGTTTCTCTTGGTTCATATGCAGTTATCAGCTCTATTTTATTCTCTGTCCTCTTTTTTTCAGAGGCTAGAAACATATCACACAGGAAAGTCTCCAGGCTCTCTCTAAAAGGATGCTAGTGGACTTAGACATACAGTAATCAGTGTAAATCATAGGAAGGTCCAGATACTTCATACTATGTGTTTTAAAAGCATGTCACCTATCAAAACTGGGGGACTAAACATTGTGGGAAAAATATATTTTCAAAATTGTTTTGTATTAAACTAAGCAACTTAACTAGAAGAGCTTCATAATATGCATGGAAAACACTATATTGAATCATAACTTGAGAAAATGGGATCGATGTGACATAGCCTAGAAATATGTAAGGGAACCAAAAATTGAGTAAGCATTAATGTAACCACTTGTTCTACTGAGTTGTCAGAAAAAGTCATGATGCATTTTTGCATAGAAAAATATATCTATCATGACTTTTCTAATGACCCAATAAATAAATGACTTTTTATACCTTGCTCTTTTTTTAAAGAGAAGATTTGAGGTAACTTACAATATGAAATCATAAAGCAAGACATATGAAATGAAGCTAAATTGAGATTTTGAAATGCTATTGCTAGTGGAAAGAAAATTGGACCAGGAACCCAAAGTGATATAATTACAATCACTGAGAAGTAAATTTAGCTTCCAGCTTGTTACCCACCAGGAAATTGTAGTTGTGGATGGAGTTCTCCTCTCCTATAAAAGGGAACCTATAAGATTGAAGGATTATATAGAGAGACAAGTTTTACTTGAAACTAAATTCAAGAAGACTTTATTTCTTGTTTCTTTTATTGTGAAGAACCTTGGGGGAGCTAGCAAGTAGAGCAGTGGTTAAGGTGCTGGACTTATGCATTACTGACCATGGTTCAAGTCCTGTACCCAGGACTCATGCCGGGCGTGTGTATGTGTGCGTTCCCAAAATTCCAAGAGGAGAATGCAGGAGAAGGAATTGTGGTGGGGCCATCCTTCCCCCAGGGGGAAAGTTCTCTCTTTCCATCTCTTTGTCTCTCTGGAGAGCGCATGTACTCTAAAGCAAAAATCTTAGCAATAACAACAAAAAGTACCTTGGGTAATAGAGAATTCAGCCTACTGTATTTTTGCAAAATGTGCAAAAATTTTTTTTCTTTCTTAGATTGACCATCCTTACAAGTCAAGAACTTGTTTTCCTTGAGTTATAGTGTAAAGTTATTATATTCTTCAGGGCCTAAATGAGATTCAGGTCTGTTTTCCCTCCTTTGAGCAAGTCTGAGAGAGGTCCCTGAGCATAAAGTTAAGGAAATGCTTTTGGCAGAGAAAGGATAACAGTTTAAGAGTTCTGACAACCACATAAAGTGTTTGTTGGCAGTATTTATTAATCAGAAAGAATCCTTTTGTTCAGACATCTGATAAGCAACTACCAATATTGTCATTCTCATGGGAAAAATTCAATAATCTGATTTTTATGTCACCTAAACAAAGGAGCCTCCACTTGTCAATTTACTATAGAGAATCAATTGGCGGGGATAAATTGTGCAATTTTTTAGAATAATGAGTCTGAAATACTTTTTCCTAAGTGTTCAATGGACATAGTACTTCTAAGCTATACATTATAGAGCAAGTAATTTTAGCCAGGGCAAATCATTTTTCATCTAGGGGTGATCAGTAGCTTCCTGTTTCATAAATTTAGGTGTATCTGTCAGAACAACTGTTATTTTAAATCCTGTTCCCTAGGTATATCTCTTATTTGACTTTAAAGGTTGGAGAGATCCCACAGTTTTTATTTTAATCTTAGCAAATTATCACAAATAGTAATATCAAGTTTAGCATGCTAAAGTTTTTTTTTTTTTTTTTTTTTTGTTCTTCTTCTGAAAGAGAGGAAGGGAAGTGCGAGACAGGCACCCCAGTAGGGTCCTCATGCCACCCCCAGTCTCAGACTGCCTAGATCATGTGCTGTGTTTGTATCCCTGGCATGCTCAGAGAGGTTTCAGAATAAATTCCCCACAGCTTTCCAGTGTGGGTCCATTTGTAGCAGTGCTGAACCACTGCCTAGTTCCAGTTTAGCAGGTTCATGTTAACCTTGTTGAGAGCTAAAGGGATAGCTGCTCTTGGGTATGCCTAGTGAGTTCAGATCTTGAAATCCTCTCACTGGATGGTGAACTCCTGTGGGCAAGGACCACATCTGTTTTGTTCACTCCTGTGTCCGCTGTGTCGAGCACAGCTCCAGGCACAACAAAGCTCATCAAATACTTGTTGGAAAGAAAAAACCCTTTCCTTCCTATATGCTATGCTACATGAGTATAACACCAAGTAATTTAAATCAAGGCATTTTATAGATATATTAATGAAAGGGAAATTGAAAGCAAGCCTTTTGAAAGTGGAATTTGATATGAAAATATATTAGGTAAATTTTGCCCTTGATCCCCACAATGCATAACATTGAATGGTGTATGGGCCTGGGACCTGTGCAACTTTATGGGTTAGTAGTGTCATGTACTAAACAGGAGAGCAGCCATCCCTTTATTTAATTCAGTATTTTTTAAAGTGCTTATCTATAGCAAGACAGTACTTATTAAGTACCTAGGGAAAATAACCCTTACCTCTGTGGAGAACATAGACCTATGCAGAGATAGTCTCAACATAATGAGTTAAGTCTTTGATAATTCTGAGTTTAAAAAATACATACATTTGCTCAGTTAAAGGCATAAAGATACTGTGATGCCTGAATGATTATAATAATAATAATTATTATTATTATTATTAAGAAAATGAAACAGAAATGATCAATCATATAATTATCACTTAAAACCTGCCCTTCAGGGGCTAGGTGGTGGCATCATAGTAATGCACAATGTTTTCTGAGACCCACACGGGTGAGTTTTGGGTTTGCTTCCAGAGACTTCTCTGGGTATGCTGGGCACATGCATGACAATTATCTGGGGCTGCCTGGGCATCTGGTTTGTAGCATCAGAATCCTGTTAGGGGTGCTATCTCTCTGTCTCTCTTTTTGTGTCTCTCTTGTTCATGGGAGAAAGAGAGAGAGAGAGAGAGAGAGAGATGAACTTTGAAAAATGCCGGGGTCCAGCCTAGGCGGAGGTGGGTTGACTCGTCGGAGGCGGTGCAGGTGAACAGAAACAAAATTAGACTAAGACCTCAATGCGTTTTAGCATGTTCTTAGCTAGCCACACCCAGAGTTAGCTCCAGGCTGCTGCGCTAGTGGCTGTCAAACACACGTATTTATTGAGGGGTGTCTTACAGGAGTAGAAGGGGTGAGGGGGAAATAAAAGATTTACTCTATGAAACAGAGAAGAAACAGGGAATTCAAGGCACAGAAACAATAATCATAAAACATGATGTCTGTCTTGTATGATTAGGTATAATCAATTACAATTCTCAGGATGAAGGAGTCTATTTGGTGCATTTTCTTCTTAAATCTTGATTGCCGGACAGGGCCTTTTCGGGTGAGAGGGTCTTGTAGCTCAGGAGACAACACAGGGTGTT